GCAGGCGGGGAGAGCAGGGTGCAGGCGGGGAGAGCAGGGCGCAGGCGGAGAGAGCAGGGTGCAGGCGGGGAGAGCAGGGTGCAGACGGGGAGAGCAGGGCACAGGCGGAGAGAGCAGGGTACAGGCTGGATCAGTTTCTGCCCCCTGGTCCCAACGGCGGGGGGGGGGGGGGGGGCAGGCAGGGCAAGTGTCAGGAAGTGCTTCTGAGAGAGGAACCAGCGCCTCAGGGCACACCTGGGGAGCTGCTCCGAGGGAGGGCAGGTGCAGGCTGGGCCAGTCTGAGGCCCTCCAGCTGCGGCAGTGCCTCTGAGTCTGTAGGGAAGGTGGACAGGAACAGGGCGCAGTGGCTGCCACAGCCCTAACCCAGCCCAGTCGGCGGGAAGGGCCTACACTCCCCAGGGAAGTGTGGGTGGAGAAAGCTTGGGGAGATCTCTGGGCCGGAGAGCCAGACCAGGCAGCCAAGGAGAGAGAAAGGACATTCCCCAGAGAGCAGGTGTCAGCAAAGATGAGCTCAGTTTCTGGCGACTGAGCAGCTGGAAATACAGGCTGGGAAGTGGGCCCGGCTTCTGACCGCAGCATGCGGCAGCCACTCCCGCTCCAGAGCAGCGCTGAGGTTTCGTGACCCCGCGGGCAGGACAACTGCGCAGGCCGGCAGCGTCTCGCTGGGCTTTCGGGCCACTTTGCCACATCTCTCTCCTTCAGGTCCTGTGCAAACCCCTGACACACAGCAGGACATTACGGCCAGGGGAGCCCAGGCCCCGGCGCCCCCGGGCTCCCACCTCCACTGCCAGGCTGAGCCTTTGTCTGTAACTCTCTTGAATTAGCCGTGGGAGCAGCCAGAGCCAGCCTGAGGCCCGCAGCACAATCGGCCAGTGGTGGCTGCTGTTCCACCTTGATGCCTTTTGTCCAGCTCAGACACTCCAGAGGCTGCCACGGCCTTGGGGGCTTGGGCCTTGGGGACATGAAAGGGTGAAGACCAGGAGCAGGTGGGCCTGAAGAGCAGCTGTCCGCAGGTCACCCCCATCTCCAGGGCAGATCCCTTGGGGAGCAGACGGCTTAGCCAGTGATTGGGGCTCAGGGTACAGGGGGACTGTTTTGACACTGATGCCGACAGCCCTCTGGTGTGAGTCTGGGAGGGCCGTACTGAGAGCCCCCACCCACCAGGCAGTCTGCAGGGGGCGGACAGAAAAAGGGTGGGCTCCTAAGAGGGGCCGAGGGGTGCTGGGAGCAGGCCCAGAGACGGGCGCCCCGAGGGGCAGTGGGGAAGCCAGGCAGGTCCATGGCTCCGGGCTGAGTGTGTGGGAGCAGTGCGGGGTGGGGAGGCAGGCTGCGGGAGCCCCTCCTTCCCCACTGCTGCGTTTCACTGCGCCCCCAGAGGGCCTGGCCTGACACGGACAAGACGACCCAGTTTGGAAGAAGAGGTGTTTGGAAAACGTGCCGTCACCCCCTCTCTCCAGTCTAAGGCAGCACACTTGACAGTTTGCACACAGTCCTGAGCGACGGCCGCATCTGTGCCCGGCCCCCCACCGGGAGCGCAGACTACGCCGTCGGGCACGGGTGCGCAGTGTTTCCCCACAGAGGAATTCACAAGCAACCCATGGAATTAGAACCAAGAAACCACAAAGACCAAAAAGGAAAACAAAACTGTTCTTCAATTATTTTAAACACGAAACAAGAACATTTCTTAGGACTTATTTTACGATACGAAGTCATTTACTTTATTTCAAAACTCTGCGTGGAGGTTTCTGGAGGTCGTGTTAATTACTCCCTGGCCATGCCACAGTGAGCTACGTGGTCAAGCCACGGCCACAGCGTGTCAGCCACGCTAGGGCTGGCCGGAGGCGCGCACCCCAGAGCCCGCAGCGTGGCCTGGCTGAGAGGAGCCGGCCCGGGCCGCGCCCTCTGCGCTGCTGCGGCAGGGACTGGCCCCAGGGTCTCCTCACAGGGCCCGAGCAAGGAAGAGGCAGTTTGAGAAACAGAGCCAGAACC